TCTAAAGAACTTTCTTCCAAACTGTGTAATGTTATATTATCAAATTTATAATTGAATTGTATGTTACTTGCTTAGAGAGAATTTATAAATTGTCTACAGAATCTCACATTTCATATAAAATAGTTTGAATATTGCTGGTTTAATTTACTATATATTTATTATAAATTTGATTCAGAATATTCAAATAACATTTAATGTATTTATTTTTGTCTGCAAAGATTGCAAATTTAAATTATATATCTAGCAATTCTTTTCTTTTTGCTTTTTTTTTTTAATTTATTGATTAATCAATTAATAAATTGTGACACATACATATACATTTTTAATATCAATATATTTTTTTTATCATTGATAAAATTGCTAGTTTAAAGCAATTAGCTAAAACCATAATGTAACTTAATAATTTTCAAAATAAAAATTAGTAATATATAACTGCTTAGATATCATTTGAAAATTTGGAACATTTAAGTGTTGTAGAATATTGGATAAATCAGAATATATTTCTACATTCTGTAATGACTTGGAGAAGAAAACGCTACAAAACTTTGAAAATAAGATAACCTTGAAGAGTATGTGGATTAATCTGATAGAAACACTGATACCTATAGAAGCAGAAAAACTAAAAATGTGTTTTTAGTTTTTCTGCTTCTATAGGTATCAGTGTTTGTGAAACTTTATTATTAGACACACAAAAATCGCAAACTTTAAATGGGCAGGACATATTGTCAGCACGAATTATAGCAGAATGACAAAGACATTAGAGTAACATAGAGTGGAAAAAATCACAGCTGAGTAATATCAAGATAATGGGTGTAGGGAGGAGTGAAAGTTGCAATAAGCACACATGACTCAAAAGCTAAAACGATAACATAGTCTCTAAGCTACAGACTTTGTTAATGCTGATTAATATAGTTTGTAGTTGATTTTTATAGAAATAATTAACTTAAAATAATAAAATATAATTAATGTAATTAAAACTTAAATATATTAAGATTTTTAAAGTGTACTTCTATGCAAAACAGAATTTTGATATCAGTTTTTTAAATTAATTAATTGCATTTCTTTACAGAGACTTTGCTCATAAACTATCTTTAGCATTAATTTCTAATGCAAATACTCCCCTTCATACGTTAGATCTATCAAACAATTTGATTGAAGATAAAGGTAAATATTGAAAATGTATAAAATAATAGGATAAAGTTTTAATAATTACTGTTGTTTAAATTATTGCTTATATGTAATATTTTAAGAAAAAAGTTTTGTAATTGTCATTCTTTTTATTTTAAAATGTTTACAAAACTTGTCATCATTCTGATAAAATCAAAAAATAAATGAATGCAGTGCTAAATTTGAGGTAATAAAAAAATATTTAATCATAATCAGTTTATTAAATTATTTTAGCTGAAGATGATTGAAAAACTGTTGAAAAAGTTATTGTTAAATGTTTTCTGTTATCTATATGTGCATTTATTTATTTTTAGTTATTATTTCACAAAAAAAAATTATTTACATGTAATTTTTATATCAGCAGTTTTCAATTTTGCTTTCACAAATTCTCATTGTATTGTAAGACAAATTACTTTTCTAAAGCATTTTTCAGATTGTTATTTTTTTTTTTTGTGGATAGAACTTAAATTATTCAGTTTTAAATGCACAAAGACTAAGACACACTGTATTTTACGTTATTTTTAAGTAATTTGTTAAATTGAAAAGATTACTTTTAAATTTTAAATTATTTGAAATTTTAATGGTTTAAAATTTTTGTTAATTTTGTAATATAATTATTACAGTTAATATTGGAAGGTGTCAATAAAATATTTTAAAAGCATTTCTGAAAGTTAAATATCTTGGCTTGTTGACAAGGATTTTCTTTTATAAGATATACACAAAGATGAATACCAGCTTTAAAGTGGCATCATACAATGTTACATTTTTAAAAACAAATGGAATGTATTGTAGAAATTCTATGCATAATTTTTGATTTTATGTAAAGCATATCCATTACATATATCTCCATAATTATAATGATGTTCTCCTTTTAGGTATGTCATTGATGTATTGCAATTTTGTTTTTCAAAAAGCTGTATGGCATCAATGAATTGCAATAGTAAAATTTTACTAATAAATTATTTAGTTACATTTGGTAATAGTACAAAATATTTCAGAAAATAAATAATTGAAATACTATATTGTCATAAGATTACTTTGCAAGTATATAATCACAATTTCATAATTATTGATTTACAGTAGTAAAATGATTTAGTTTAATAAGCTTTCAAAAATTATTAGCGCTAAAAGTATTTTTTAAGTTAATTAAATCGTCTGCTCATCTGCACAAGCTTTAAATTCACTGAACAGATTAAAGCAATATGGTATGAGAATAAATAATAAATTTAAAATATTTTCTATAAGTTTTATTAATGCTGTATTATAGGATCATGGAAATAAAAACAAATTTTCACTTACTAAATGTGTTGTTTTCTGTTTTCTAATATGTATTAGAATATTTCAAATAAAATTAATTACTGTTTTCATTAAGAATTCAATTGATGTATGACTTGGAAATGTTTAATTAAATTTCCTGTAACAATTTCATTTTTAGTTTTTTTTAAACATATAATAATAAATTTTTTAAAAATTGTTAGAAATTAAAAATTATTAGAAGTTTTCATTGTTATATCTTACAGTTTTTTTTATTTAAATTATGTAAAAATATATATATAAAGTTTTGCTTAAATGTAATGGAAGTTATTGAACAAAACTATTTTCAAAATGATTCTTTTCATATATTTTTCATTATATTTTTTGTGATAATAGATTTAACATAAGACACCAAAAATTAATGGCTGTAATATTTCTTCGTATATCTGTTGTTGATTAACTGTCAGAAATTAATATTTTTGTTAAAATGAAATTTAAAGCTGTAAGTTTAAATACAGGAATGCATTAAGAAATTTTTCCATCAGGTTTTCAAGAAAGAATCTCAATATTAAAGTTAGAAATAATTAATAATAAATAAATAAATATATTTTTTTTAAGTACTTACATTAAATGTATTACAGTTATATTGGAAGTATATCATTAATATAATAATAAATCTGTTTATCATATTTGTTTAATAAAGTATTATACTTAAACAAAATTTTATTTTGTAGGAATCAATAGCCTTTGTGGAATTATAGCAAAAATCACTCAAGGTTGTATTATATGTTTATTTCTATGTATTTAATACTATATAAAATAATTTTAAATTACAAAAAATTATTTTTGTGAAATAACAATGTTTTACATGTTTGTTTTTTCATTTCAAATAGTATTAGTAAAGTTGTGATTGTTTAAAGTATGTTTTATGTACATTTAAATAAATATATCATTTAGTTTTACCTAAAAATATTGACAATGTGCAAACTTTTATTAGTATGTATTGAATTTATAAATTAATAAACAACTATCAAAAATAATTTTGATTGTTCAATATGATTTAATTAGACTTTGTTTGAAATTTTTGTGTCAATAACATTGTTAATAACCATGATTGTCAAAAATCATGAGATATTAAATTAAGTGATTAAATAATAATTGAACTACAGTAAGCATGTTGCTATCAATTAGAAATGGATATGCATGCTGTTTATCCATCTGTGAACTTAATGAATGAATTTGTTTATTTATTGAATTTTGTTAGATAAAATAATTTTGTGTACTGTTATTTGTGAATGATGATAAATCAATCAAAGAAAACAAAAAAGTGTATAAAATTTGCAGTTTATAAATGTATAAATTTATTAATGAAAAATATAAATAGTGTAATTTAAATAAAATTTTCATTAATTATTTACATTTGTTTTTCAAATTTGCATAATGTAAAGATAATTTTCTAAGAAATGTATATAATATTTATGTAAAATAACAAGCTTCTGTATTTAAAAAAATTAAATAACCTTTAAGAAATTTTTTCAATTATTTGTAATTACAGTAAGATTCCACTTAACATTTAGCACTTTGTCATTCCTAGACGACAAAGCACTAAATGAAACAGTGTTAAATAAGGTCATTTTAACACAGAGTAAATATGGAAAGGGGAACACATAACCAAAAATAAACAGTTTTTTACTTTAATTTTAAGTTATTTTTATATTAATTTGCATAACAATATATGTTAAATAACACACAAACATATGCACACAGAAATGTAAAGTTCATTTTTTGTGATGAAGGTCCTGGCTCTTCTGAAATTCTTGATTTCTTTTTGTGATGAAGTTGTCTAGTGACATTTGTTACTTTTTTTTTCTTTCATTAAGCAAATGTTAGTAGCAGGAGATTGCATCCAAAATACTTTGTCTTGCTTTTGCACTTCTTTCAAAATCTGTATCATTTGCTACAATTGATCAACGGTTTTGGTTATTGTTACCAAACTTTTACTAAGGAAAACTGTAACAAGTTTTTTGGGTTCTTCATTTTCAGAATCACTATTTTCAAATTCTACATGAATTCCTTGTTTTGCAAGTTCTTGAAGGTCTGTGGTAAAGCTCTCACCTGCAGTAACTCCTCAATATCCTGCTTGTGTACATCTAGTCCTGCTATATCAATTAGGTTGATAATTTGGTTAACCTAATGATACAGCAATAGACTTTTCTTGTTGAGAATTCATTTCTTGGATACCTTTAGCCATAACTTTTTCCACACTTCATTCATGCATTTGTCAGTTAATTCTTGCCAAGAGGAGTCAATATTGCCTATTGCATCCATGATGTTATATCTTTTCCAAAATTGCACCAAACAAACATAGATTTAATGAAAGTATGGCTATACGACGAATTGCCACCTTTTGCTGATTGGTTCATGTTCGGGGATAATCATATTACAATACCGAATCAATGAAATGCCGAAATAATTTGAATCAGCATAAATTATAACTTTTTTTTTTTTTTTTTTNTTTACTTAAAAACACACACAAACCAGAAAATAAAGGTTTGTATTTTTTTATATCTCCTTTTTAGATATCAGAAGCATTAGAACAATTATTACAAGTAATGAAGCATTCAGTTTCTCTTGAAGAATTATATCTTGATAATATTGGTGTAAAAGGGTAATATGTTTTATAATTTCAGAAAAGAAAGCTTAGTATCAATAGTAACTAAATATTATGAGTGAAAATGCATAAATAATCTGTTATGTACAGTATATTACATATTATATAGTAGACCCCCTATAACACGGTAGATATGTTCTGTTTTATATGAATTCCGTGTTTTATGAGTCACTTAAATACATGAGCCAATCACAGCCCGGCACATGTGCAGTTTAGGGACTACAGCTGTTTGAAAGGTTTTCTTCCATAAAATTAATTGATTCTAGACTAATTTGACTCAACATTTCCAAAACACATATAATTTTTTGGGAATAATCCATATAAACTATGCTATAAACAAAAAATTATAGGATTACTTACCGATTGTGCATCGATCGACATTGCCATTACTTAAGCTTGTTTTTGTCATGGAGCAATGCATCGAAACAATGGGGTGCGCGTGTTTCCCGATAAATTATTTTTCTGCAAAAAATTTGCTGAACTTTGGAGATATCATTAATATAAACATAATTTTTATGGACACTAAATAATAAATGGTTTTTAGTAGGTTCATTGCTTGTTTAAACTCAACGGTTTGTGCAGTATCTGTTATTGGTCTAGATTCAACCAATCCTGTCGCGACACGAGTCGGCGATGACATTTTATTGTATTATATGAGTCTCTTTTAGCATGTTTATATGATACAATTGCAATTTTTTTGCCATGTTATATGAATCCATATTATATAAACCTGTGTTATAGGGGGTCTACTGTATATGCTAAACTATTTTAGTGTTTTGAAAACTCATCTAAGATCTTGCAGCAATTTAGACATTTTCTTCAAAACTATTTACTATAAATAAAGTTAAAGCAACAGAATAAGATAAATGTTTTAGGTCATATTTCAACTTTCAGATCTGTAGAGGACCATAACACATTATTGAATTAATTTATTTAACAATGTGTTCTGTTTTATTTGTTATCTCTACTTGAATTTAAGAATTAATTATTTTCTTAGATGTGTTTCAATTCAACTGTTTTCTGTAGTTGTTTTCAACTATATAATTTAGACCAGGGGTTGCCAAAGTGGTCTATATCAACCCCCAGGGGTCGATATAACATTATTGGGGGGTCAATGAAAAGACTAAAACTTACAAATTTTGAATCGAATATTACTAAGGATTATCTGTCATAATTTTATTTAATTTTACTAAAGGATTATCAATCTTATCTGTCTCATTGATTGTCAGTTACTAAAATTATTATTAACATATGTACAATAAATGTAAAAAATGTAAAATTAAAAGATATATATTAAAATAGTAAAACCTTTTTTTTTTTGCTTGTAACACACACTTTTTGGTGGGGTCGATGTGAGGTTTCGAAAAGTTTAGGGGGTTGACGATTAAAAAAGTTTGGCGACCCCTGATTTAGACAATCTTAGTTTTTAAAAGGAAGCTTTTCTTTGGTGGAGGTTATGCATCTGACACAGCACAATGTTTCTGGACTTGTTTGAACATATTCCTAAAATGATAACTTGAAAATTAATAGACAAATGGTTACTTCAGAAAACATGAAAACATTTGTATTTGAAGAGCGAGATTGAATATCAGAATGTTTTCTTCATTATAAAACTATAGTTATATCACAGTTTCAAATGCATGTAGAGTTCATTAAATCAAGCAACTTAAGATAATTGATATTCCAGCATTTGTATGGCTTCTTCATGGTACAGTTAGGTTAATTTTTTTATAATCATGCTTATATGTACAGTGTTTTGTCTTGTCATTGATTTCTTTGAGAGAGGGAATGGAATATTCAAAGAATTCATGATTAATCATATCTTAGTATTTGAATTTTAAAGCATGGCTGGAATGTTCTAGGAAGATAAATTGCATCAAATAAGTTTTTAAATCTTTCCTGAACTGAGTTTTATCTTATTAGTACTGAAATCTGTTACAAAATTGATTAAAAAACCTTATAAATCATTATGGTTTGTTATTGTGTGACTCATTTGGCTATGAGACATAATTATATTTTTGTTATTAATCCACATTTATGGTATATAGCATCTCTGTTTAGAATTAAGAAGCTTTTATTACAATTTATCAAGATGAAGACTTATTGTTATGTAAACTATAATGAGTTTTTAGTATTGTGATTATGTTTATATACACATCAAATTTCAATCAATTCTATCACATTTATTTTTTAAATGATGCTTGAATGTTAATTTTGGACATAAGTGTATATATAGTATTAATAACTAAGGATATTTGTGAAATGAATATTAATTATTATTTTTTAATTATTTGATGTTTGTTATAATTTTAGTTTTTAAATTTAACTTAAATTTGTTAATGACCAAATAATTTAACATTGTAAGCAATACGACAGTAAATAACCATAACAAAAATGTATTCGTTTAAATCAGTAGTTCAAATTTTTAATATCGATGAAATATTTCACATAAGTAAGGATTCCCTTTTTCTTTAAATTTTATTTTTATGGGATTTCACAAAGATTTTTAGAAACAAATATTAAATATAAATAATTTTTNATTATGATTATGTTTATATACACATCAAATTTCAATCAATTCTATCACATTTATTTTTTAAATGATGCTTGAATGTTAATTTTGGACATAAGTATATATATAGTATTAATAACTAAGGATATTTGTGAAATGAATATTAATTATTATTTTTTAATTATTTGATGTTTGTTATAATTTTGGTTTTTAAATTTAACTTAAATTTGTTAATGACCAAATAATTTAACATTGTAAGCAATACGACAGTAAATAACCATAACAAAAATGTATTCGTTTAAATCAGTAGTTCAAATTTTTAATATCAATGAAATATTTCACATAAGTAAGGATTCCCTTTTTCTTTAAATTTTATTTTTATGGGATTTCACAAAGATTTTTAGAAACAAATATTAAATATAAATAATTTTTTAAAATAAATATTTAAAAGTTTTTTTATTTCTAAACATAAATATTTACAAATTTCTTAAAAATTGTAAAATCAGGTCTCTGTCACATTTTAATTTCACCATGAAACTAATTGCATATAGTCTTATCCTTTCTTCTTAAAACAATTAATTAAATTTTATTATTGACTAAAATTCAAAATTGATGACAACATTACCATTTTACACCTGGAAATAACTAAATATTGTAAAAAACCAAAATCAGAGTATCTCTGGCAAAATAAATTTAACAAAATACTAAATTCTTTTCGAGTGTCTGATATGCTATTTAAAGATAATCTTCAGGACTGGAAATACAGCTACACACTGTTACTGGAATCTGCAATTTTTCAATCTGTAAACAAAGATCAAGTCAACCTAAGTTGAAGTAATTACCATCCTTGGTATATAGATATCCTAAAAATACCACCCTCCCAACCATACATCAGTAAACCGATAAATCTTAATGTGAAAAGATTAATAGCCCAACTATGTCTCAATAAATGTTCACTTTTCATTAGCAACACCTATATCAATTTTTCAAATAACCAATGCTTCTGGTGCAAATTCGATGATTTCTCAATGCAACATCTACTACAAAATTGTCAAAGCTTTGCAAATACACAAGACTCATACAATATCACGTGTATTCTTCAGTGTAGTCATCTCTCAATTTCAGAAATAACTTAAAAAACCATAATAAAAAAGCCCTTTATTATCTATATAACTATTTCATGAAAATCATAGAAATAATAAAAAACTAAAAAACCCACTCAATATATTTCAACATTGAATAAAAGTCAATTGTATCTATATCATTACTTCCAATAAAATTGTATTCTTTGTTTATGTTACACAGGATTACATGGTACCTACTGTATTTATGTGTATAAATTTGATAATTTGTAAGCTGCTACAGTACCTTTGTAAATTTTTATTCAAAATATGTATTACCCTCTGCAACAGGGAAACTTCCTTTTTGCTAATAAAGTTTTGTTTGATAGATAAAATTTTTAAGAAATTAATCAGTCTAATTTTCTAAACATAATTCTAAAGAACTTTCTTCCAAACTGTGTAATGTTATATTATCAAATTTATAATTGAATTGTATGTTACTTGCTTAGAGAGAATTTATAAATTGTCTACAGAATCTCACATTTCATATAAAATAGTTTGAATATTGCTGGTTTAATTTACTATATATTTATTATAAATTTGATTCAGAATATTCAAATAACATTTAATGTATTTATTTTTGTCTGCAAAGATTGCAAATTTAAATTATATATCTAGCAATTCTTTTCTTTTTGCTTTTTTTTTTAATTTATTGATTAATCAATTAATAAATTGTGACACATACATATACATTTTTAATATCAATATATTTTTTTTTATCATTGATAAAATTGCTAGTTTAAAGCAATTAGCTAAAACCATAATGTAACTTAATAATTTTCAAAATAAAAATTAGTAATATATAACTGCTTAGATATCATTTGAAAATTTGGAACATTTAAGTGTTGTAGAATATTGGATAAATCAGAATATATTTCTACATTCTGTAATGACTTGGAGAAGAAAACGCTACAAAACTTTGAAAATAAGATAACCTTGAAGAGTATGTGGATTAATCTGATAGAAACACTGATACCTATAGAAGCAGAAAAACTAAAAATGTGTTTTTAGTTTTTCTGCTTCTATAGGTATCAGTGTTTGTGAAACTTTATTATTAGACACACAAAAATCGCAAACTTTAAATGGTCAGGACATATTGTCAGCACGAATTATAGCAGAATGACAAAGACATTAGAGTAACATAGAGTGGAAAAAATCACAGCTGAGTAATACCAAGATAATGGGTGTAGGGAGGAGTGAAAGTGGCAATAAGCACACATGACTCAAAAGCTAAAACGATAACATAGTCTCTAAGCTACAGACTTTGTTAATGCTGATTAATATAGTTTGTAGTTGATTTTTATAGAAATAATTAACTTAAAATAATAAAATATAATTAATGTAATTAAAACTTAAATATATTAAGATTTTTAAAGTGTACTTCTATGCAAAACAGAATTTTGATATCAGTTTTTTAAATTAATTAATTGCATTTCTTTACAGAGACTTTGCTCATAAACTATCTTTAGCATTAATTTCTAATGCAAATACTCCCCTTCATACGTTAGATCTATCAAACAATTTGATTGAAGATAAAGGTAAATATTGAAAATGTATAAAATAATAGGATAAAGTTTTAATAATTACTGTTGTTTAAATTATTGCTTATATGTAATATTTTAAGAAAAAAGTTTTGTAATTGTCATTCTTTTTATTTTAAAATGTTTACAAAACTTGTCATCATTCTGATAAAATCAAAAAATAAATGAATGCAGTGCTAAATTTGAGGTAATAAAAAAATATTTAATCATAATCAGTTTATTAAATTATTTTAGCTGAAGATGATTGAAAAACTGTTGAAAAAGTTATTGTTAAATGTTTTCTGTTATCTATATGTGCATTTATTTATTTTTAGTTATTATTTCACAAAAAAAAATTATTTACATGTAATTTTTATATCAGCAGTTTTCAATTTTGCTTTCACAAATTCTCATTGTATTGTAAGACAAATTACTTTTCTAAAGCATTTTTCAGATTGTTATTTTTTTTTTTTGTGGATAGAACTTAAATTATTCAGTTTTAAATGCACAAAGACTAAGACACACTGTATTTTACGTTATTTTTAAGTAATTTGTTAAATTGAAAAGATTACTTTTAAATTTTAAATTATTTGAAATTTTAATGGTTTAAAATTTTTGTTAATTTTGTAATATAATTATTACAGTTAATATTGGAAGGTGTCAATAAAATATTTTAAAAGCATTTCTGAAAGTTAAATATCTTGGCTTGTTGACAAGGATTTCCTTTTATAAGATATACACAAAGATGAATACCAGCTTTAAAGTGGCATCATACAATGTTACATTTTTAAAAACAAATGGAATGTATTGTAGAAATTCTATGCATAATTTTTGATTTTATGTAAAGCATATCCATTACATATATCTCCATAATTATAATGATGTTCTCCTTTTAGGTATGTCATTGATGTATTGCAATTTTGTTTTTCAAAAAGCTGTATGGCATCAATGAATTGCAATAGTAAAATTTTACTAATAAATTATTTAGTTACATTTGGTAATAGTACAAAATATTTCAGAAAATAAATAATTGAAATACTATATTGTCATAAGATTACTTTGCAAGTATATAATCACAATTTCATAATTATTGATTTACAGTAGTAAAATGATTTAGTTTAATAAGCTTTCAAAAATTATTAGCGCTAAAAGTATTTTTTAAGTTAATTAAATCGTCTGCTCATCTGCACAAGCTTTAAATTCACTGAACAGATTAAAGCAATATGGTATGAGAATAAATAATAAATTTAAAATATTTTCTATAAGTTTTATTAATGCTGTATTATAGGATCATGGAAATAAAAACAAATTTTCACTTACTAAATGTGTTGTTTTCTGTTTTCTAATATGTATTAGAATATTTCAAATAAAATTAATTACTGTTTTCATTAAGAATTCAATTGATGTATGACTTGGAAATGTTTAATTAAATTTCCTGTAACAATTTCATTTTTAGTTTTTTTTAAACATATAATAATAAATTTTTTAAAAATTGTTAGAAATTAAAAATTATTAGAAGTTTTCATTGTTATATCTTACAGTTTTTTTTATTTAAATTATGTAAAAATATATATATAAAGTTTTGCTTAAATGTAATGGAAGTTATTGAACAAAACTATTTTCAAAATGATTCTTTTCATATATTTTTCATTATATTTTTTGTGATAATAGATTTAACATAAGACACCAAAAATTAATGGCTGTAATATTTCTTCGTATATCTGTTGTTGATTAACTGTCAGAAATTAATATTTTTGTTAAAATGAAATTTAAAGCTGTAAGTTTAAATACAGGAATGCATTAAGAAATTTTTCCATCAGGTTTTCAAGAAAGAATCTCAATATTAAAGTTAGAAATAATTAATAATAAATAAATAAATATATTTTTTTTAAGTACTTACATTAAATGTATTACAGTTATATTGGAAGTATATCATTAATATAATAATAAATCTGTTTATCATATTTGTTTAATAAAGTATTATACTTAAACAAAATTTTATTTTGTAGGAATCAATAGCCTTTGTGGAATTATAGCAAAAATCACTCAAGGTTGTATTATATGTTTATTTCTATGTATTTAATACTATATAAAATAATTTTAAATTACAAAAAATTATTTTTGTGAAATAACAATGTTTTACATGTTTGTTTTTTCATTTCAAATAGTATTAGTAAAGTTGTGATTGTTTAAAGTATGTTTTATGTACATTTAAATAAATATATCATTTAGTTTTATCTAAAAATATTGACAATGTGCAAACTTTTATTAGTATGTATTGAATTTATAAATTAATAAACAACTATCAAAAATAATTTTGATTGTTCAATATGATTTAATTAGACTTTGTTTGAAATTTTTGTGTCAATAACATTGTTAATAACCATGATTGTCAAAAATCATGAGATATTAAATTAAGTGATTAAATAATAATTGAACTACAGTAAGCATGTTGCTATCAATTAGAAATGGATATGCATGCTGTTTATNTTTTTTTTTTTTTTTTTTTTTTTTTTTTTTTTTTTTTTTTTTTTTTTTTTTTTTTTTTTTTTTTTTTTTTTTTTTTTTTTTTTTTTTTTTTTTTTTTTTTTTTTTTTTTTTTTTTTTTTTTTTTTTTTTTTTTTTTTTTTTTTTTTTTTTTTTTTTTTTTTTTTTTTTTTTTTTTTTTTTTTTTTTTTTTTTTTTTTTTTTTTTTTTTTTTTTTTTTTTTTTTTTTTTTTTTTTTTTTTTTTTTTTTTTTTTTTTTTTTTTTTTTTTTTTTTTTTTTTTTTTTTTTTTTTTTTTTTTTTTTTTTTTTTTTTTTTTTTTTTTTTTTTTTTTTTTTTTTTTTTTTTTTTTTTTTTTTTTTTTTTTTTTTTTTTTTTTTTTTTTTTTTTTTTTTTTTTTTTTTTTTTTTTTTTTTTTTTTTTTTTTTTTTTTTTTTTTTTTTTTTTTTTTTTTTTTTTTTTTTTTTTTTTTTTTTTTTTTTTTTTTTTTTTTTTTTTTTTTTTTTTTTTTTTTTTTTTTTTTTTTTTTTTTTTTTTTTTTTTTTTTTTTTTTTTTTTTTTTTTTTTTTTTTTTTTTTTTTTTTTTTTTTTTTTTTTTTTTTTTTTTTTTTTTTTTTTTTTTTTTTTTTTTTTTTTTTTTTTTTTTTTTTTTTTTTTTTTTTTTTTTTTTTTTTTTTTTTTTTTTTTTTTTTTTTTTTTTTTTTTTTTTTTTTTTTTTTTTTTTTTTTTTTTTTTTTTTTTTTTTTTTTTTTTTTTTTTTTTTTTTTTTTTTTTTTTTTTTTTTTTTTTTTTTTTTTTTTTTTTTTTTTTTTTTTTTTTTTTTTTTTTTTTTTTTTTTTTTTTTTTTTTTTTTTTTTTTTTTTTTTTTTTTTTTTTTTTTTTTTTTTTTTTTTTTTTTTTTTTTTTTTTTTTTTTTTTTTTTTTTTTTTTTTTTTTTTTTTTTTTTTTTTTTTTTTTTTTTTTTTTTTTTTTTTTTTTTTTTTTTTTTTTTTTTTTTTTTTTTTTTTTTTTTTTTTTTTTTTTTTTTTTTTTTTTTTTTTTTTTTTTTTTTTTTTTTTTTTTTTTTTTTTTTTTTTTTTTTTTTTTTTTTTTTTTTTTTTTTTTTTTTTTTTTTTTTTTTTTTTTTTTTTTTTTTGAGCAGACTGCATTATATTAAATCAGCGTTAAGTGGGTCTTACTGTATTTTTATCTTAGTTGTCTTCATTTAATCTTTCCAATTACTAGTAGTATGTCAGTAGTTTGAATTAATAGGATAATTAGTTTATTAATATAATAGTTACTATCAATTTATGGAAAGATTTTTTTAATGTTATTGGCAAGGATAATTGAAATCCGTTTTATAGAATTATTTTAAATTATGATTTTTTCTTTTATTCAAAAACTGATTTTGAATTTCTATAATAGCTTAAAATTGAAGATATATTTTTAATATAGTGATATTCTCTAGAAAATTGAATTTTTAAAATTGTAAGCTGAAAATGTTTATGAATACAATTGATTCCACTTAATTGGGATGCCGGTTAATCGGGGCAGCCGCTTTATTGGGCCAAATCTCAAAGAAAGGAAACCAAACTAATAAATTAATGCATAATTTAATCACTTAATTGGGACAGTAGCAGAAAAGGAATTTAGCAATTTTTTATATATTTTAGTAATCTTCCAAAAATATGTAGGCACTACGTACACTAATGTCATGTAGGCCTAACGATTGACAGAGACAAAGCGATTTTGTCTTGCTCTGGCAATTTGGTTTTTCCGGAGGGGGTCAGCATAGCGGGATGTATCACACGGGGATTTCATCTGAGGCAGATATGAATGCGAGTTACTGACCCTGTTCTGGATTGGACTGGACAATCCCCTTAAAAGCGAAGGGACAAACGTTGCCGGACAATTTTTTGAGGTCTCTGGACTGAGTTGGAAGACAGCTAGAGTTTCCTTGGAAGGTATTGCATGCATAATTATGTCTAGATTCAGACAGCAGCCATCCGATTGTTGAAACCAGCATCGAGCTGGCAGATTCTATAGATACTCCCACCGAAGTGGCCCATCTCCAAGTAAAGGAAACTGTGCTCAAAGGAAGACTGTAAAATGATTTTTGGACAAACCCTTTTCTTTCTCCATTTTTAGTTAGAACATGTTCTAACTAAAAAGAAAGGAAGGAAAAATTGTTCGATCAGGAACAGATCGAATGGTCAACCTTTGTTTACATCACTACTAATATTTGGCAACACTAGCATTATACAAATCAGTTATTTATCATTGTGAGTCTGGCAAATTTATAGTACAAATATTTTCTGTATTTTGGTTTAATAAAGCATTAAAATAGGTATCTAATCATTATTTTTTACCTACTTATTTATTTACCTACGTATTACATATTTTATTGTACAATTTATTATTAGTTCATTTAATTGGGGTAGCTGCGTATTGGGCTGAAATGAATTAGTCCCAATGTGTCCCAGTTAAGCAGAATCCATTGTATTTCATAAAGATATTTATAATTTAGCTCCCTTAACAATAGTTTTATGGTAAATGTGTGTTCCTTAATACACACACATATATAATATAATCAAATTGTTGGATAAATCAAATTTATTATAATTTACTTTGAGTTATAGCAAACAAGAAGCAACCTTCCTTACTTCTTTCAAGCAATAACTTTTATTACAACACAAATGTTTTCAGCCTCATTTAGGGGCATGCTTCAGGTTTTAAACTATTTCAAACAAAAAACTGGATGTTTCAAACTATAGTGTACTATTGTTTAATGAAGAGATGTACTTACACCATATGCATTTCGAACTGCATCAATTAACAGTTCCTCTTTAGTGGTAGAAATACACAATAATGACATGAACTCTCTAGTAGAACGTTCACGTTATTATTATGTATTTCTACCACTGTGTATTTCTATCAGTGTAATTTTTACTATATTCATTATTTTAAACTCAACTTTTCTTTTGAAAGTTTTTTGAAATTACATACACACACCTTTTTAAATATATTTTAATTGATCTCCCAAATTTACAAATATAGTTCTTTTTATAATTCCTTCTAAGGAATAACTAAGCCTTCAAAGGACTGTAACCAGATTACATTTGGTCCAGGTAGTATAATGGTAAAACATTTGCAAATGAACTACTAATTCCACTGCCTGGACCTCTGATTTGATCTTTACTTCCACACTATATTAAGTTATAACCTTACAGATGCCATCTCATGGATGCTGTACATCCATGACCCCTGTGTTTTTAGATGACTTCAAGCTTTCTCCTGGCATATTTATATCGTTATGAGGTGTTCAACTTCTGTTCAGAATTTCAGTAATGGGGATGGAACTGTATGTGTTACATAGTCAAAATTTATATATCTTTCTCTAGATATGCTTCCTTCTTTCTTGCATTGTTTTGGCAATGATGCTTTGCTTACAGAAGACCAAGTCTTTTATTTAATGTAGGTGCACAGCCCTGAGAACAGTGGAGGAAATGTATAGATTTGGTTGGGAAATTTTGGATCATTGGGCTATAGTCTGAATCTGTTATCATGCAGTTGTCACCTGTTTTGTTCTATGAAAGAAGCCTTGGGAGACAGGAGATTCACTCAGAATGCTGAATACAGAGAGTTCATTATGCAGTGGTTCTGATATCATCCAAAAGACTATTCTGTAGGCATAGCAGTGTTGCCAAAATAGTGGGAAAGGTGTCAGTCTGTGGAAAGGGACTGTTTCTTTCTTTAGAAAAGAAAGAAACAGTCCCTTTCCACAGACTATGTTTCTTTAGAAAAGAAAGAAACATAGTCTTTCTTCTAGAAACATTCTTCTTCTAATCCCAGTTTATGCTTCTGAAGAAAGAAACATAAATTCGGACTATGTGCTATTAAATGTATCTCAGCTGAAACTAAGTTCAATCACTTTAGAAAGAACCTTTATAAGTCACAAGGACAGTGAATCTTTATCAGTGGCACAGAAGTTATTTTTTGAAGATCCAAAAATGAAAATTCAACAAGGGCCCATAATACATAAATTTACATAGAAGATAATATTTTAAACATTGCAGGATTTATGAGATGGATCTATATATAATGTATTTATTAATACACAGCCCCACATACATAATATTTTAACTTTTTTAAATACAAAATTAAAAATTTATTATCTTCATAATACATCATTGTACCTGTAGGCATTTCAAATTACAACAGTTGAACAGTGAATTCCTGACAGACCTAAAAGAAGGCCTATAAAAGAAGCCAAAAACATTAGTCAAAAAGAATAAGTGAGATGGAAAAGTACTGGAAGGTATAGTGTTGAGACTATGTACTATATACATCTTCATCCCCATTACTGAAATTCAAGACAGAAGTTGAACCACTGTCATATATTCCAACCAGTTCAAATTTTTAATTATTCAAACAACTAGAGCTGGATTTACATTATCATAAGACTTATAAATTATTTAATTAAATTAATTGGTTAAATAAGATGATTATGCCAAATTATATTGTATGTTATGTAATCCAGCTCCTAATTGTTTGAAAAATTATGTTCAAATCAACTTGAATTTTTG